TGTCTGCTTGGGAGGATTGCTGGAATCCCTATGGATAGATATTTGATCCCATATTGTTGCGAATATTTTTATTGATTCTCAGGTATCGAACTCTTTGTTATTAAATGTTTCATTTATTGTTTAGCGCGCTACTTTGCGTTAGAGAAACCTCTGACTGTATAGCAAAGGCTGTACCGTTTGAGGTATTTTGTATCTTTGATATAATTTGTTGTATTTCCTAAATTATAACCGTCTAAATTCAGCACAGAGTTTGTGTTTTGATATAAATTAATACGAGTATCTCAAAAACGCTTGGTACGCTATACCGAAGAACGTAGTCTGACCTGTTCGAATAAATTTTGGTTCATCAGTCCTGCGTTCAAACCGAATACTAGCAGTTCAGTCGTTACACATACATTTTAAACAGCAACCATTAAACAACTCGATGTCTTTGGTCTGTCATATGAACTTGATATAAATAAACCCACGGCACCCTATTAAATACATCCTAGGTTACTGAAGGAGGTAGCAACTTTTGTCGCGAATCCCTCAAGCATATGTTCTTGCCTAACTGTAAGGCAGGATGGTTTACCAAAAGACAAGAAGAATGCTATCATAAGTCGTCCTCAAAACAGTTACGAGGTATACACTAGAAAACTGTCTACCCGTAGGCCTAACCAATGTGGTTGTTAAAACTTCGGAAAAGACTATTAAGAACGAGTTGTTTAAGTACGTCAACGGAAACTGGATTCATTTTAAAAAGCAGCACGGGTTTAAAACAAGTCGTTCATGTCTCACTAGCTTCTTAGTAGCCTGTAAAAATTGATGTGCTCTTAAGGGTCGAAATTCACCTATATGTGTAGCCTACGTTACCTTCAGAAAAACTTTTGACGAAGCTCCTCTCAACCGGCTGTTATATAAGTTGAGTGGTATCGAGATTGGGGGCAATTCATTAGTCTGGATGACGGACTTCCTATTAGAGCGTCAACGGAGTGTGTAGGTGAACTAAAAATAATCTATCTGGGAATTTTTGTTTACCGGAGTGCCTCATTATACACTGATTGGACCAGTGTTGTTCCTCCTGCATGTTGAGGACCCTCCTAGTCTCCTATCATCATCCGTTTTATTATATGCTTATGATTTCAAGATATAGATAGCGAAGCTCACACGTTCAAATTGAAAGTATAAAGTGTCTACATATGGAAGACGCGATTTTGCCGAATAAAATGGATGAATAGCGTGAACATAGTAATGTTAATAATACTCACTTGATGGAAGTATTTGAAACGCTGATATCTTCTTAAGTTATCGGCCAGGAGCTAGCAGTATTGGGCATGTCATTGTTTCGGAACGAGAGAATAACAGAAACGAGGAAGAGGCAGAATCGCCCTGTACCTGAAATCGTGCTTGATAGCGCATCAATTGTAGAGTCGAGAGATTATCAGTCCTGATGAATCTGTATGGTGCTCAGTAAGATTGTTTCTAGTCGGAATAATCTACAATAAGCTCATTGGTGGAAGGATTATCCTGCTCTACTTGTCTCGGATACATTCATAACCTGACTCCGGGAGACTTGAACCTTCCTAAGCTTAAATCCTCTGAACACACGTGTACTAGAAGTGAAAACTCTGGTGAAGCTGGGTTCCTAAACCTCATTGAACATCTGAGGTTATTCGAAAATGTTCAACATGCAACTTGTTGGAGAAATACTCGGGCACCACCGCACTCAGACTGTGTATTTACGAACGAAGAATTTCTAATTGACAACCTCTCAATCTCAGCTCCCCTGAGTTTAAAGTGATCATGCCATGGTAATCCCCAATCTTACCAGCAAAATTGAGCTGAGACATCCTACAAACAACAAGCATTGGAATTTCATGTCGGTGAATGTGCCATTTTTAATTATATTTAGAGCTTAAACCGCTATAGGCAGTTACATCATGACAAATCTACAATTATAGGATTGGGTCTATTATTAGAGCAGTACTAATATCATAGTAGACCACAATTCTACATATGTACTACCTGAGCACTCGAACGCCGGAACCCCCCCCCAAGTACAAAACTCTCAGGTACTTGTGGTCATCCAGTCCGCGTGCAGTAGCGTTTAGATTTTGTTCAATAGAGAAGCTAAACGTCAAGATTCTGGAGTGTTGTTCTAAAAGATTGAATGTAATGTCTCCGGCCTCTCAGAGCTTATTTGAGTTCACTTGTGGGAGCGTCTTCACAGTTTTCCAGGACAATCTACGGCAGATGTGTAGAATTATAGTCTACTTCGTTATTAGTACTGCTCTAATAATATACTTAATTATAAAATTGTAGATTCGTCGTGTTTTAACTGCTTAATTTATAAAATCCTATGTGGACGTCAGATCATTGTCTACACTGACTCATCGTATCATAACAATTACCAATATATGATGAATAACACCTCCAGGTTAGATATAGAACATCATATTTAATATAAATAAAAACAAGTTATTCAGAATGAATACACCCGCAAGGCTGAGCCATGCCACGCAACTGAATTGAGCTTTGAATGAACGTTTCTGCATTCACAGTTATTGACCTTCTCTTAGTGTTATATATTGAAAGTCTATTTTTCCAGTTATCTCATGTTCAGCTTTGAGAATTGCATTAAGGATACAGTAACACTAAAGTACCTATTGTGGCGTAGCAAACGAAGACTGAGATTTTCGATGACTTTAGTTTGCTTATAATTTTGCGCACCGTTTGGGGAACAGATTGCTTCGTAGTAAATATTATCATGTGCAGTATGAAATTCCAATGAGCATCCATATCAAGTTGATAGTGAACTTTATAGTCCATCTGTAGTGCACTGGAACCTAACCACATAATCCTCAAAGCTGAACACGAGACAACTGGGAAAATAGATATTCAACATTTAACCCGACGATGGAGAAGGCAGGAAAAATGAATTTAATCAATTCGAATTGATCGTATGGCATGGCACAACCTAGCAGACATGGTCGCTCTGTCCAACTTCTTGTCACTCATACTGAATATTGTTGTCGTATCTCCAACCAGAATGTGTTCTCCATCATATATTGGTAATTGTTATGATACGATGAGTCAGTGTATACAATGATGTGACTTCCACATAGGATTTTTATAAATCAAGCAGTTAAAACACGACGAATCTACAATTTTATAATTAAGTATATTATTAGAGCAGTACTAATAACGAAGTAGACCACAATTCTACAGTACTGCGTGGCGGAATACGGACTAACTGGTAGAAAAAGCTCATACAGGCAATCCAAACAAACAAGGTAACAATGCACAAGTGCAAGAATAGAAGACAGGCTCCAGTATCAGATAAAGCCAGTCGACAAATTTAGCTTTGATCCGAAAAGCTTATTCTATCACGCAGCTTCTATTCGACAAGCCAAAATCGGAGTTTAACAGTTTCTAAGTTCTGAATGCCAAACCAACAACGACAGTGACTCCGTCGACCTTCTGGCGGAACAGTATTTTGAGACACCTTGACCGCTATGTACTAACTATATTGATGGGAGCCTTACATACAACTCCACAGGACTCTCGGAAGTATTAGAAACTGCAACACCTAAACAAGGACACCTCCTGGCCCGTACGTTTTTCATTCTGCTATACTGAGGTAAGTAGCTTCAGACATGGCGACAGAGCTTAGCGTGATGTTCTCACGTTCGCAAATTCATGACACGATACCAGAAAACTTGAAGCTGGCTTACATTACACCAATTTTCAAAGGAGGTCGACGCAACGAACATATAGGCTACAGGCTAGTAGCACTTCTCTCAATACTCTGAAATGCTACAGTCTACGTGAATACTTACTATTCGTAAGCTTCTTTTCAACCCAACAGTGCGGTTTCAGAAAGTCACTCTTGTAAAACCAACTTAATGAACACGGTGGACAGATGGACAACCATCCTCGATCGCAATGGGAAGGTTGACGTTATATATCTTGACTTCTGAAAAGCGTTTGACAAGGTCAATCGTATATCTGTCATCAGTAGACTCAAACGATTACGTATTAAATTACCATTAGTTGATTGTCTTACTTGATATCTAATTAATTGACTTTTTAAAGTCAGTGTTAACTTCATTTTTTCTCAGGCTACAGAATGTTCTACTGGGGTCCCCCAGGGTTCAGTAAAAAGACCTCTTTTTTCTTAGTTTACACAAACAGTCTTCCAAGGAATGCGTCGTCAGATTCATTACTTTTCGTTAATGATGAGGAGCTCTGGAAAAAAGTTTGCAACCAAGAGGATAAACTGGCACTTCAGGAGGATTTGACTCGACTTCAACAGTGGATGGATAACAACAAACTTATCTTTAACATTCAAAAGTGTGAAGTGGCCCACCTGAGACATGTTGTAGACCACGACTTTAACTTGGGTAACTTCCACCTAGAGGTATCCCAAGGCGAAAACGATCTGGGAGTGTTGGCACCCTATGAAATCTTACGCTAAATGCGACAAAAATGATTTTCGGGCAAACCTTTCACTGGTAACACTGAATAGCATTTTCGGCCAGTTGGGATAACGGACTTCCCACCTAATCTTCAACCGCTTTATTCGTGTTTCTTCCCTCACTCCGAAAGGATAAGGACACACTGAAACGCATTCAGCGGTGAGTCACGAAATCAGTTCAGGGACTCACAGTTAAGTCTTATGAGAAGCTCCCTCAACAAACGGACCTTTACCACTGGAGGCACAACACAGCAGAACGGATTGTAGGTATACTTTCGACTCCTTGGGAGTGGTCAATAGCTGGCTTAGCGAGCCCAAGCGACTTCCAATGAGTTCTTTAGGAGAAAACTTGACATATTCTTAAGGACTAGGGACGGCATCTCGCTATAATTAAGCACCTTTTTCTTTTCTATTGTTAGATATGCCTAGGTAACTACATGCAGGCATCGGTACTCCATTGCTACTAGATACGGAAGCCCATTGAGCGTAAGTTGCTATTCCGTCTAGAACCTGAAACCATTTGAAACAGTGCGCTACTTTCACGATGTCCAAGGCTACAGAAGAAAGGAAGGTTTCTAAAAGTATATTGAAAAAGTCTAGTGATCAGGTACCTCAGAAGAGCTTCCAGTGGGATGAATCAAATATTCTAGCTACTTATCATCCCGCAGATAAGACGTATGGTCATATGAAAATTGAAGAGCCGAAAACACCTTACGTTTTTGATCCTGAGGATGGTTCTGCCGTCACTTCTGGACCCTTATTTACTGCAGAAGATTTAGCTGCCAGGCTTTCTGCGGCTTCAAAGGACCCTGATCAGCACTTAGTAAGTTCCACACTTATTTCCCTATTATTTCGGGGTATTTTATGCCTGATTAGGTTATGTAAAAGCAATATCTGTATCACTACTCTGATGTAGTTCATTTTTGAAATGCCTTACTTTATTAACCTTATTTGAAATCCAGAACTTATTAACTCACTACCCAGTATTTGTGGGACTCTTCAGCTACGTGTTTTCTTTTCTCCATATTTCCTGGGAAACTACACTCTTCATGCGTATACCAAATAATATGTTCTTGTAGCGTGGCCGCATTTTTAGTGTTTGCTTATTTTCAGAAGGTAATTCATCGTTCAGGTTCTTTTTCACACAGTTCACTTCCCTTAATTAGTTTTTTATAAACTATCAAAAATGATAACAGTATACTCTTTGGTTTTGGGATTCATTGCCGCTTTTATCACATATTGTGACAATTTGTCTTGGGCATTTATTTGCCATTGTAGTTCACTCGCCTTAGTGGTGTAATGATGACCCCAGGACGTGATCAACCGGAAGTTTTAACCCAACGAGCTTGTCGTCGGTAAAGAACTCTTCTGATAGCTTTCTATGTCCAGCAACATCTGGTCGTCTTTCTCCAATATGTGGGGCCATAAGGTACAATATAACAATACCAAATTTCGATTAATCGTATTCGTTAGTTTTTCATCTTTTCCAACCTCCCTGGAAAAGAGAACAAGTTAAAGTTTGAGCGCATGTCAAAATACACTCGCACTTGCGAAGGAAGCAGAAGGTGCGAAATAACCTAGTATATATGCGTACATATATCATGCTATAGCGTGAGAAATTTCTGTGCAAAAAGTTGTTTTTTGGTTTTCTCAGAAAAAAATAAATACACATACAAACATATTAAAAGCGAACGATCTTTTTGATGCAAAAATACGAAAAAAAACTAAGATTTATTGTGGGGCGCAAGAAACGAGATAAAATAAAACGTTATGCAGTGTCCTACGTACAGTAGTCGTTTGAGTGTTTTGAATATCTTATTCTTTCCAGAACTCTTTCGGCCGGTTTTCGGATACCAGCGAAGTTTCGTCGTGGTTGTTGTTTATCGGGGGTGGTATCGTAATGTTGAGGCTCGCATCGTTTGATTGTACAGGAGACTCAAAGTAATTAGTCTCCATTTAGATAAGCAGCATTATGAAGGTCAGTGCTGACGTTATCGTTAGTTCTGTTCTTATCGATGATATATTACTTAGGTTTGCGATGAAGGACTTTGAAAGGCCCTTCGTACGTCATTTTGAGAGATCATCGTAGTAAGTTGTGACAGGCTAAAACGTGTGTACTTTGTTATAAGACACGTCGGACGAAAACAGTTGATTGCGGTTGTGTGGAAACGGGTTTAATTAAATGCATAGCGTTTGTAAGCCTGCTCGTGTATGACTTTAGACCTACATTCATTAAGGAAGAAGGGGGACCCAAAAATTCTTTTAAAACGGTGTCGTTCTGTAAACGAGTTGTGCTGCAATTTACCCAATGTTAACTTTCACTGCATTGTGAATACTGAGTAATACTAGTGGAAAAGCTCCAATCCATTTTGACACTGTCAGCTGAAAGCGAGGCCCTCAACTGTCGATGAAATCGTTTTACCAACCCGTTGGCTTGTGAGTGGTAGGCGGTCGTTTGGAATCGTGTAATTCCTAGTAGTGTAGTGAGACAACAGAAAGTCCAGATTGGAACTGGCGTCCACGGTCTGTAGTGATGGTTGAAGGGCAACCGAAGTAAACCACTCATCATTTGGCGGTGTAGACCACCGTATCAGTCGTGTTGTCCTTGATTGGTACTGCTTCTGGCCATCGTGTGTTACGGTCCACACACGTCAAGATGTAAGCATATCTATTTAAATTTGGCAATGGTCCTATCAAATTAGGATGAATATTGTTGAAGCAAGCTTCGCAGGTTGAGAAAGAACCTAGGGAACATTTGTTATATCCAATCATTTCAGATTTCTGGCTGCCTACATAGGAGTGTACCTAATGCCAATTTATTTTCAAAGTAATGATTCCGTTGTTTCCAGCTAAGTTTATGTTTACTACATTATTCCGAAAAACTTTCAGGTAATCCTTAGCTTTGTCGGCAGCTATCACTTTGTTTTTAAAGCTTTTAAGATCATCCACTTGTAAACCACTAGGCTATTTGAAGCAACGACTTATCATTGTTTTACTAGTTATTGTTTCAAAATATATAGATCGCTTAGTCCTTGTTATACTGTGTCAGTTTAGATACGTGAAGAAGGATCTTAGTAACGAATCAAATCCAATTTTGAAAAAGTTAGAAGCTAAGCGAAATAGAAAGACGAAAAAACAGTCAAAAAGAACAGATAAGTAAGAGAAAACGGATGAATTTTTTCGATTTCGACAATTCCAAACCATTGCTTTTTGTTATGCCTCTTCTCGAGGATCGTAGTCGCCAAGTATGCGTCACTGTACACAACTTGGGTTAGCGGTTAGTGGACTCATGCACTTGTGGAATATCTTTTGCCATTCTTTTTCCTAACCTAATCCTACTTTAATCATCATCACGCTATGGATCAACATTCTCAACAGCTCAGTGCAGGTCTATACCGTCACTTGACTTGGATCAAAAGCCTCTTCACAACTCACATTTTGCATTGTAGGCAACCGCTATGTTTGTCTAACCAAAACGTGGCATCAGTGCTTGAAGTCACTAACTTCTAGTTGGTAGATGTAGACTACTTGGTTGGGGTCCGTGTGACTATCATAACCAATGGTTGGAGACTGTGGTTGACATGGCTCAGAATCGATCACTGTGGTGTAGGTGTATACACTCTCTGTCTTTCCTTAAACTATGAGATTAAAATCGCTTCATGTCTTTCTTTCTACGAACTAATTTCTTCTTCCTGTACTATATCCTCATATGCAATCTTCCTTTTATATGTTACCACCATTGAATTAACTACTATGAGTCCGTTGTTTGTCTTGCTGTGCTAATGAGGTGTGGCAACTTGGACCAATGCATATATGCGCCTGGTTCCACGTTTTCGCCGATTGGCTGGTTATGTTTGTCGTTTTTAACTCGCTGACCGAGGATTAATGGATTAAATAAGATTGTGAATAGGAGTATATACTTAACTAATTGGATTAACTGACATTTACAGCAGTAATGAACACGATTAGACTGAAGTTCTAGTTGGATGATTAACAAATATACGGGTGGATAAGCAAACAAAGATTGGTAAATTAAAATGGTATACATATAAGGTATTAGAATTAATCACACAACCGTCTAAACGGAACAGTAAGGACTCGGAAAGATGGAGACACTCGTCGTCTTTGCCTATTCTCCTACTGACTGCAGCTCAGATAATGTAAAAGATGAGTTTTACAGAAAGCTTTCCGACCTTCTCCGAAAAGCTAGACGCTCTGATGTAGTAATAGTGGCTGGTGACTTTAATGCTCAAGTAGGTAAACTAAGCGAAAGGGAAAGACACCTGGGTGGGTCTTATAGCGTCGTGGCTCAAAGAACAGATAATGGCGACCGTCTGTTGCAGCTATGCTCAGATAACCGCCTCTTTCTTGCCAATACTAACCTTAAGCATAAGCAAAAATATCTGTTAACATGGCGATCCCCTAATTCGTCCCAACGTTGGACCCAAATAGATCGCATCGCTATCAGCCACCGATGGAGGGGCTCGATAGAAGACTGTCGCTCATTCTGGAGCACATGCTTAGATTCAGATCATGTTCCAGTGCGAGCGCGTATTTGTCTGCGTCTTACTGGACGTAGGAAAGACGCTGCAAGGAAACCTCTTGGGGCCCTACTTAATGATAGTCAAACTAAGAGTATATTTCAGGAACAACTAGGAAAACAGTTAGGCAGTCATGTAGGTGATGCCCACCCTAAGGCAGCATGGAATGATATCCGAAAAGCTGTGGAAACAGCAGTGATATCTGCTAGTACGGTAAACCACGAGGTTAGAGAGAAACACTGGATCTCAGCAGCATATATCGCACTAGTAGATGCTCGGAAACTCATTCCACCTGGCACTGAACATAATGAAGAGAGGAATCAGCTTAAGCGCAAGCTGACAAGAAGCCTACGCAATGATCGCAAACAGTGGTGGGTAGCGAAAGCAAAAGAGATGGAAAAGGCAGCGGGAATAGGTAATAGCAAACAATTGTTCAGACTTGTTAAGGAAACCGGTATTAGGAACCCGACCGTTAGCGAAACAATCTCAGAGAAAGATGGACATATTATTCATTCTCAATCCAGGAGATTGGATCGATGGGCAGAACACTTTAGGGATCAGTTCAACTGGCCTTCAGCCACACTTCGGTTTCCCACGATCTCCAGTCAACCTGAATGGCAAGTAAATGTAGGTCTTCCGTCTCTTCACGAAGTTGAAAAAGCCATAGAAAATCTGAAGCGAGGGAGAGCAGCAGGCCCTGACAGGTTCACTCCTGAGATTTTCAAGGATGGTGGTCCAGTATTAGCAGTGAGATTAACTGAGGTCTTAGGTAGAATCTGGGAACTGGACGTAATCCCATCTGACTGGTCTCAATCACTGATTGTGCCAGTCTATAAGAGAGGGGAAAAGTCCTCTTGTGACAATCACTGAGGAATCAGTTTAACTAATATGATGTCTAAAATATAAGCTTCAATAATACTTCGACGCCTAACTAAAGCTCGTGAAGAGCAAACTAGAGTAAACCAGGCTGGTTTAAGACCTGGACGTTGTTGTATAGACCAGATATTCACACTATGTCAGGTCCTAGAACATAGACACACATTCAGACGCCCCGCAATCGTAGTATTTCTCGACCTTAAGGCGGCATTTGACTCTGTTGATCGTGAGGTTCTATGGCAGTGTTTGTCACTGAAAGGAGTACCAAAGAAGTACATTAACATTATAAAGGCTCTCTACTCGAACAAAACTGGTAGAGTGAGAGCTTAGGTATGGTATGTGCTTTGCACCTTCGAAGTGCAAAGTACTCCTACAAGACTGGCAGGATTCCAATCCTGTACTCACCCTGGATGGTGAGCAGATAGAAGTAGTCGAGAAGTTCGTGTATCTGGGTAGCTGCATAAGTGCTGGTGGGGGTGTGAGTGATGAGATCAATGCACGTATAGTGAAAGCCAGAGCGGCTTATGCCAATCTGGGCCATCTTTGGCGCCTTCGTGATGTTAGTCTGGCTGTAAAAGGTCGGATCTACAACGCGTCGGTGAGGACAGTTTTGCTCTATGCTTGCGAAACCTGGCCTCTCAGAGTTGAGGACGTTAGACGACTCTCTGTGTTCGATCATCGCTGTCTCCGAAGGATTGCTGACATTCAGTGGCAACACCATGTCAGTAATGCAGAGGTTCGGCATCGTGTGTTCGGGCACAGAGATGATAATTCAATTGGTGTTACCATCTTGAAACACCGACTTCGGTGGCTTGGACATGTTCTCCGAATGTCGTCCCAGAGAATTCCACGTCGTGCATTATTTGCCGACTCTGGGACTGGTTTGAAGAAGCGGGGAGGTGGTCAGTGCATGACATGGTGTAGTGGCATAAAAGAAAGCTGCAAAGGATTGGTTTGTGTTGGTCCTTCACGACTCCCTGGTTGGGGTCCGAGAGATGGTGCTACACAGTGGCTAGAGACGTTATCAGATATGGCTCAGAATAGAAGCCAGTGGCGATCCTGCTGTAACCTTCTTTTACTTTCTTCATAAAAAGTGGTTGTGTCTCCCTTACCTGAAAGATTTCTTCCGATTGTACCTTTGCGTTCCCTGATTACTAGCACATTACCTTACACCAATCTCTTCGTTATTGTTCTCTCTTTTTTTGTTGCGCTCCTTAGCTTTTTTTTTTCTTTCTTTGTATTCCTCTCGAATTTTCATTGTTTTGTGTGGCTCATATATATTGGCGCTCTCTTGTACCAATATTCATGTGTCCAAATAATAATAATAATTATGGCGAACTGTCATCAGAATTGATTACCTCAAGTGGTGTTCGTCAGGGCTGTCCACTCTCTCCATTCTTGTTCAACTTTGTCATTGACGTACTTTTAGAGATAACACTCCTCATTTAAATTTACAGGGGTTGAACTTCTATCGGGAGATTCACTTATTGACCTAGAATATGCCGTTGACATAGTTTTATTTGGTGAAGACGCTGACCATTATAAGATACAATGCAAGCATGTTCGAGATGCGATTCTCCCTTTCGAAATGCAAAATGTTGCTTTAGGATTGGGTTGCATGGACACCCGAACTAATGATAGGGAGTGAAGTATTTGAGCGTGTCGATCGCTTCACTTATCTGGGAAGTCTCATCAGCCCTTGTGGTCTGGTGTGTGACGAAATCTCAGCACGGATACAGAAGGCTCGACTAGCTTTTACCAACTTGCGTCATTTATGACGTAGGCGAGGTATCCGTCTACCAACCAAAGGGACGTGTTTACCGCGCAGCAGTTCATTCCCTCCTACTTTATGGCAGTGAAACATGGCCGGTAAGAGTAGAGGATATTCGTACGTTACTAGTATTCGATCATAGGTGTCTTCGAAACATTGCTCGTATATCCTGGGACCATCGAATAAGTAATGCAGTTGTTAGGAAACGGGTACTAGGTAAGGATGGCAAATCAATTGATGAAGTAGTGAAACTTCATCAGTGGGGATGGCTGGGACACGTGTTACGTATGCCCAACGACCGACTGCCTCGACGTGCGATGTTTTATGGTGTAGGAGCAGGTTGGAAGAAAGCTAGGGGAGGCCAGACCAAAACATGGCACAAGTCTATGAAGTCACTGACAAGTAGACTGAGCCATGTTGGTAGGTGTAGACTACCTGGTTGGGGACCGCGAGATGATAGCAACCGATGGTTAGAGACCTTGAATGACATGGTTCAAAATCGTTTGCAATGGTGCAGGTGCATCCATTCTTTGTGTTCTCCCAAATTCTAATCTTCTGAATTCTTCATGTCCCTTGTTTTCTTTCTAAATTTATTTCACTGTATTATACTCCTTGAATAACATCTTCAAACCCTAATGTTTCCGATTACTGCCTATACTTTTACCACCTCTACCACTATGGGATTTGAATCGACAATTGTATCTTTGTGCTAATGTGGTGTGGCAACTCGAACTGTTGTACGTACGTACGAAGTCCTACGTTGTTACTGACTGACTGACACACAACCGAGGACAAGTTTGGATTAAAGTAATATATTAGTTAGTCAAACCCTCAGTCAAATTTTTTATTCTAAAATCAGTATACAGTTGTACGGATTTAACATACTTGTGTTGAACACGACAGCATTATGTCGGTCGGCAATAAGTGAAGTATGTTACGAATGACTTGTCCTTTTTCCATCAGTGAAACTGTATCGCACAAATATTCTTGATACAGTCTATATGAACAGAAGATATGTCTCCTTTTAAGTAGTATTTACATGACATGTGTATGCGTAAATGGTCTGCCTCATCTCAACTGTTAAGCTAGACTGATTATTTCTTGTGAATAATTCTCAGCATTCATCTCTATCTAACCAATCGGAAAAATTTTTTAATAAATGAATGAGTAGACGAAGTTGATCTGAAATTTATAATGTATTTGCGCTATACGTTTTGAACAATTTAGCCACTCATATACTTGTCAAGGCATTTATGGAGACTAGTGGTCAAGTAAACATAAAATGGTTATTATAAATAAGGAAGAGAAAAAGTGCAATTTAATATAGAAATAGGACGTTCTCGCACCACCCTAGGCCGGATAATAATCAAGACACCTTATGTAGCCGTGACTTTGTAGTTAATGCACTCGACTTTCAAGCAGTAAGTCGTATGATTAAACCGCGTTCCACCTTACTTTTAGTAATCGGTTAATATCACTAGTCACACAGTTTGTTTGAAAGCTTAGCGCATGAACTCACACTTGATAAACAAGTTAGTTAATATGTACTAATGGGTCTCAGCGACCAAGCCTAAACCTTCGTTTATACGGTATGTTAAGCAGCACGCTTCCTGAAAATGCTAGCTGCAAGTTGACTACTTACAACATTGTGTTACTACCCTCTAAGATTTATTTTAAGACAATCAACCTACTACATGAAGTGCCTCTTGAATATCTTGAAAAATGATTCACTATATCAACAATTGGTTTTTTAATGTTATCAAGGTGTATAATGTGATGGCTTTTACTTGCTTGTTATTTATTTACAAAAAGTGATTTCCATGATCTGTCTATTAAGAATTATTTATTTATTTATTTATTTATTTGAACACATAAATATTGGTACAAGAGAGCGCCAATATATATGCGCCACACAAAACAATGGGAATTCGAAGAGAAGTAGAAAGAGAAAAAAAAACTAAGGAACGCAAAAGAAAAAGAGAGTAATGACGAAGAGGTACAATCAGAAGAAATCTTTCAGGTAAAGGAGACACAACCACCTTTTATGAAGAAAGTAAAAGAAGGTTACAGCAGGATCGCCACTGGCTTCTATTCTGAGCCATATCTGATAACGTCTCTAGCCACTGTGTAGCACCATCTCTCGGACCCCAACCAGGGAGTCGTGAAGGACCGACACAAGCCAGTCCTTTGCAGCTTTCTTTCATGCCACGACACCATGTCATGCACTGACCACCTCTCCGCTTCTTCCAACCAGTCCCAGAGTCGGCAAATAATGCACGACGTGGAATTCTCTGGGACGACATTCGGAGAACATGTCCAAGCCACCGAAGTCGGTGTTTCAAGATGGTGACACCAATTGAGTTATCATCTCTGTGCCCGAACACACGATGCCGAACCTCTGCATTACTGACATGGTGTTGCCACTGAATGTCAGCAATCCTTCGGAGACAGCGATGATCGAACACAGAGAGTCGTCTAACGTCCTCAACTCGGAGAGGCCAGGTTTCGCAAGCATAGAGCAAAACTGCTCTCACCGACGCGTTGTAGATCCGGCCTTTTACAGCCAGACTAACATCACGAAGGCGCCAAAGGTGGCCCAGATTGGCATAAGCCGCTCTGGCTTTCACTATACGTGCATTGATCTCATCACTCACACCCCCACCAGCACTTATGCAGCTACCCAGATACACGAACTTCTCAACTACGTCTAAGAATTAGATGCACTTTAGTTTCTTGCTGCAGATGAATATTCCTATTCTTATGAGACCTAGTCAAATAAACCTTCAGTATGCTTATCGCATGATATTTGTGCTCTGATAAGTAGCTCTAAATCTAACTACAAAACTTTGAGGTTGGTGCTCGTGTCAGCATTTGTATATCGGTACAAATACGCACCAAGACAAATTGAGTGAAGCTGTGAAGAGATAGATGAACGAGCTTGAAAAATTGATAACTACGGAGTGTCCGAAACCATATAAATCAGAATGTGTCTTTGTTGTATTACACTGTTCTGTTTAAATTAATTGAATGAAATTGTTTTAATGACATGAAAATCTCAATCTACGTAATACTTATTGTTAATTTAATTTTTTTGATCTTAGCCAAGTGCCACAAAAGTTGACCAGGAGGAAGATGAACATCAGAGAAAATTTCGTGAAAAACGGAAGCAACATTACAACGAATTTTTGGCTGTAAAGCTAGCTAAAGAAAGTTTACAAAATGATGATGAAGAAGGGGAAAATATTGAAAAGGAAGACGAAGAGGAAGATGAAGAAGTTGAACATAATGTTGAGCAGGCGATGATTAATGCACGGTTAAATGCTGAAATTTCCCGTTTAAGTCGAAACACAGAGCAGCCTATCTCTAGTATTTTGAGAAATCAGAATCTTCCAAGATCTCACCTGTGAGAGATTCAAGATATTAAAGATTTTCGAATTTCTCTCTATTTATATGTACAAATATTCGTTTACTTCTATCCAGTTCTCTCAGATTTGGCCATTTTATGTTATGATCACAATCCATGATACAATTTAACTTTCTTTTATTCTACAGCATTCATACGCTGTCTTAGAACTTATATATTCTAAGCTACCGCCACGCAATTTGACTGATAAATTCGAAAATGTCCATAATTCCTTTATTACAGAGTCACAGACCATTCCCACTTTGTAAAATAAACCAATATAATACGAATTCTACTAATCTCACAAGACTTTTTCATAGTATGAATGTTTTGTTTGGTAATGTTTGGAATTTATACTTCAGAAAAGAATGGACAATCGTTCGACTTCTCTAAGGCAGAATGGTTTCCAGTTTACCTGAACAACTTAGCCTTGCATTACTGTATAATATATGTCTGTATTCAAATCTATAAATGTTTTGTGGATATATATACCCACTTAACCTTTAACTAATGCAATATTGTATATTAGGTGATAAATTTCTTTATCCACAAATATATTGGTCCAGTTTTGCTCTTTTGGAGTTTTCGTTGTATGATGCATATTTAGTCGATGGATCGTCATATAACAGTCGTTTCTCCAGAGGACGATGAAAAAATTCACTAATGTTTCTACTTGAATTTTAAGATATTAATTTCAGGATATATTTTGAGGTTTGTGCAAATTCCAATAAATAAATACACGAAGTAATATATTTTATTAGTTGAAACATTTAAAGCAACATAATGCAACTACAATGTTTGCATTGCTGTAAGGTGCGCGGTATATAGGTATCTCTGATGAAAATCACAAATGAATACCCCATCTAAATGCTGTCAGTTAGTTAATTTATAGAATCTTACATCATTTCCTCCCTCGGACTTTCTATGAATATATGTTTTATCGGAAGTTCACAATATGTTGTGTTAAATCAAAAGTATTACCATATCCGACAAATGTTTAACTAATTTTCTTATAATAGTTTGACTGTATTAAAACACTACACAATAGTGAGAATAATACACTGAACAACCAAAGAGGGATAAAAACTGGCAGTAATATTGATTTTCAAAAATAAGTGATAAACAAATGACATTTTGTGTATTACCAGTGTTAATCATTTAGATATCTATCAGATTTCATGTAAACCTAGAACACTAATTCAAATGATAGGTATCAATATTTCAAGGAAATAGTCGTTTAAAGATTATTATTAGTATAAACGAGGATACCCATCCCCAAAATTAGTGTTTTAGGCTGACAAGGAGTGTGATATATATGTCCTCATAATCAATTTTGCCAATGCAGTATCATTTGTGCATTTTATTATATTTTCTAAGAATTATCAGTCGTACAGTTTTATATTCTAAATAGTCTGCAAGGAGATTGAATATATAAAAACACATTGTGTTATTGGTACACTGTGTATCACTGATAAATATCACTATTGGCATTTATGATTAAACATTAGTCAAAATTTAAAATTGTCTTCATTGGTCTCAACAATAAATTGTATGTCAGTCATGTAATATACAATTAATGACTTATGTTTTCACTGGGAAAAAACTTTTACATTATCATCGATTGTAACTATAATTTTCAGATAACCAGAATGTCTTTGTTTCTTTGATAGTTCCAGTGAAATATGACACATTGAAGATAAAGAAAACCAACTATATGCATGTAACTATGTAGCATAATCTTCAGGACGTTAGTAGGTAATATGATCTTTAAAACCATCCAGTTTAAGAGAAAATTTATACCAAGTCTGTAATATGAGATAGTAATCGGAGAACCATATGAATTGTATTTTCGGAATAATTACATTTATTCCTTTAACAAATGAATATTATTACTGTTAACCTATTTAACTACCTGCATGTTTAACTATTAGACTTAGAGACATACTTCAGTTGTGTGGGGACTAGTAACACTGTTCAGTTCCATCCATCAATATTGATGAGTTTTTGCTTGAACCTGAGAACTAATGATCAAAAGCTGGATGTTTTAAACATTAAATCCCCTTTCCACCACTATAAGTTCTGCACTATTCAGCTATTAATTAGCCTTTTATTCATTCCCTTACAAAAATTTTGTAAAATTCTCCTTTGAATAAGAAAAAGAAAAGAGAGAGATCACTTCTCATGAATTCTGCTACAAAATTCTAATTGCTCTATATAATACTAGATTTTTGATATAATTGTCGGCATAAATTGACAAACTGATGAACGTTTCGGAACTAGAAAATGCTTCACAACTATTTTGTTGTAGCTCAGTGTCTCTAAGCATTCTATACCCAAGATGCTATATGTAGATGACTTCGGGAATTCTATAGAATTGGCAAACATGATATCTACTAACTATTGAGTTGAGGCCTGGTTTTACACTTATCAAAGCAAAATCACCTACTACTAATTACTTGGTTTCGAGAAACATGTTTCATTGGCATGACAAAGTGTGCTTTTTCCCATCACATGTACGAACAATATCCACCATGATTATCTACAAGTGAATGAAAATCTATCAATCTTAGAAATTAAGATTTAAAAAATGCCCCTAACGTTTAGTAATGATAATAACTTCAATATCATGTCAACTAGGTGCCTTGATTATTGCTCATTTGTTAACAATTTATTTTTACTGTCTGTTTGTTATCTCTTATCACTTTATCCCCTTCTCTTTTCTTACGATTTCATCTAAAGCATATAAAAACTGTTATGTCAAATGTGTTGTTTCTCTTGTTATTTCGAACTAAACTTTCTTGATTACGGTAATATAAAACTTGGCGTAATAATTTTACTGATGTAAATTTAGACTGTTTACAGTTGATGAGACGCCTTGAAATAAAACGAATTCATATTATTATGTAAATCTTGTTCTTCGTGCTTTATTTAAATATCTCTGTTGTTAAATACCTAGCCAATTTTATTCACCTATCGATGCCACAAACGTTTTACAAAAATATTCAAGTCAGAAAAACTGGTTTTAAGGGAAGCTGAATACAAAACTTATACATAGCGAAAGATTTGGCAGTCTATAAATTCAAGCCTTACCTTTGTGTTAAAAAGTGGTATGACTAATCTGTAAGTTATTTTTGACTTGTGTTCGTGTAGGGGTTGTTCCATCCGCATGTACAACTTATGAGGAAGGAAATTTATATCGATTTAAGGTAAATGTAAGGTTGACTTTCAACACATTTTCGTTATATCACTTTATGGATTTTCAATATATTTTTACTATACTTTGTGTTTGGTGAAAATTACGCAGTTCATTGATTTTAATTATTGCAACCTATATATATATGATCGACTAACTTAAATGTATTTTTAATTATACTGGGGGCGTTATCAAATAAAGTTTCCATTATGAAATTCAGCTACTATCTGTAGTTTAAAAAAAGAATTAGCATTGTTTACTGTAGTTGAAGTTGTAAAATATTAGCTTAATGTACGGATATTTCAGTTCATTGCTTTATCTTTTTCCTAATATTCGTCCAGTGAATAATTAATTGTCTTGTCCAACAGCACTCAAGACCACTGTATTCCTTGGATTTATCTTGTTTTTCTTCATTATCAGTTCAGATTTTAAAAGATTTTTATTCATTTCTTCTTAAACATATTCATTGTTATGTAATTACAGTGATTGCTAGGAACGATAGATCCTAGGTTTAAATCTCGCGAGGCGGGATTGTTGATGCTCTCTGTTGAGGAGTATCACAATGGGACGAAACGGTCGTTCAGTGCTTCCAGGTTTTCCATGGTGGTCTAGCTTCAATTAACTCATGATCTCAACTATTAAAAATTACTATAATATCCACAAATTTATTTATTATTTATTTTAACACATAGATATTGGTACAAGGGGGCACCAAATACATATAAACCACACAAATCTCATTCGACATGTGTGAGGGCTGTGATACTGCCCGGGTGCCCAAACCGAAGCAGGTGGTTTTCTTATGGGGCCACACCCGGAGCCTTCGACCTGAAGGTCTGATCCACAAGGCAGTGGAGCATCGTAAGGAGATACAGTCCCATGGAAGCCGGTGACCAACAATTGGTTCATACGCCATTTGTTTCTTCAGGATACTGGAGCTCATGTACACCATTGGCTTGGAATCACGGTTTTCCAACTCCCCTATGTGGACTCTCCATGCCCACCAAGCCGGTTAAAGCGCCGGATATTCGCTTTTCGTCTTCTCATTTTCGTAAACAAACCCCCGCCACGAGAAGGCAATGAGTAGGACTTCTCTGGCAGAGGCTATATACGCGTGGCCATGTGAGATCATTTCGAAAGGGAGAGCGGACTCTCCCCACTCTCAGCCGTACCAGGGTATTTGGGGGCTAATATCCACAAAACCCCTTCTGATACTAATTGCATTTATTTAAGTTATCATTGCTGTTATATATTTCATTTGTTTTAACTACATATGGTATCGACTAGAAAATTAACCTATTTATTTGTACTAATCAATAGTTAAGTGAAATATATGATTGAATGTTTATATTGAACGGCAATTGCTTGAAATATTTAGATTATAAGAGTAAACTTAATCTTAAGAGTTATATTGAAATACAAAACAACATTGTGACTTAAATGCTAAAAACAAAAACCCATATAAAGAGTAAATGAAATATTTATAATTATCTTTAAGAAATAACAGTATTAATGAGACCGACATGCAAAAAAAAGCTATTTTTATTACACATTCTGGTCCGTAAACAATGTGATATTTCATATCAGAAGGGTTTGTGTGTGTGTGGATATTATGGTAATTTTAATAGTTGAGATCATGAGTCAATTGAAGCGAGATCGTGTATACGCACTGCTGAGGAGTCTCACGATAGGACGAAACGGTCGTTCAATGCTTTCAGGCTTTCCATGGTGGTCTAGCTTCGATTAACTCATGATCTCAACTATTAAAATGTAATATCTGATAAAAATTTATCTCATGCACCGACATTACTTCTACTCATGTTGTCATAATTCTTATAGTCAATGAAAGAGTGATGGGAAGTCAACAATAACAAAGTTTACAGAACTGAGAATGTTTATACTAACATTAGCAAAAAAATGATAAAGATTTGATAGATTAGTTTCTCCTATGATTTCATTTCAGCTACATTACTCCAACTTATATAAGATATGATGATAGATAATGGTTACACATTTCCCAATATGCCAAAATAATTTGACTTTAGAGTCTCAATCACGATTTTGTTTTTTTCGCTCCATTCTTTACGTTTTATCTTATTGTTGGTTAAGACTATGAATATTAACACTCATGTGGTTGAGGCATGTGTCGCGTGTATTTAAGGATTGCTTAAATCGACGCTCCATAATGCCTAGAGTAGGTTTGAAGGCATATAGGATCAATTAT